GATGGTCCGATCTGGTGCGTCATACTGAAGTTTTAAAACCAGCCAATGTCGGTGACATAGAGACATACTACAATGGTAGATTCAGTAGCTCCCTTTATCAGGTCGGATCAGCGAGTTGGTAATCGGCTGTGCTTTCTGTTGCCTTCCACTTTGCCCTGAACAACAAGTCTCTCCATCGAACACTCATTTCTATAGATATGACCTAAGTATTTTAGGATTCTTAATCGTATAGTCGATGAAAGTAGGTCCTTAATACTAAGTTCCTTGAGGATGGAAACATTGGTCCACGGGATGTTAAGATGGTTTGTCCAGCACCACATCTCTAAAGCATTAATTTTACAGCCATCCTGCAGTCTCGAAAGCCCGGCCAGCTGCTGCCATTCACTACCACTACATAGACGAAGTACTCAAGTGGTTTATTTGCATTGTCAGCGGTTTTAGAGAGCATCAGCACCAATCGGACTAGGAGTCAAAGCAGTCGCCATGGTCGAAATCGAATGGAAGCCATATCATCATCCTTTATTAAGAGGTCAAAAGTGTTTTTTTTTTACAATTACGAGTATTAGATATTATACGCATTACACTATGAGTAATTATGATACATGGTATAATGGTATAAAAAAATAATATACTTAAATGAAATAGTTGAGAATCTGCCAATGGCTATATTAACCTCTCTCGGTCAGGAATTTCAAAAAAGAGAAAGTTGGCGATTGAGCTTTTCTTTAAAACTAAGTGGCGAATAATCAGAAATTTCGTACAGTGCGTCTGAAATCGAGCACCGAGATGCGCTCGCGTGTCGGTGTTAGAACACGCGGTTAGGTTTGAGTTATAAAAAACCGAATTTGAGTTTTAAAAACCAGATTTTCAAAAGTTCTGTCAATTCGGATTTTTCGGTTAATTTCGAATTTCAAAGTATCCGGTATTTGGATTGCTATCCCTAGTTGATATAGTGCCTAATTAAGCCAAACTGTAGCAAACTTGTTATACCTCCCCCTCCCCCCTCCTATCGAAATGTAATACAACACAACATACTTATCCCAATATAAGTATGTTGTATTGTATTACACGAGTAATCTGTGACTTGGATTTAATTAGACAGTTTGTCTAATTAAATCCAAGTCACATGTTTATACTTAAAAATAAGAGTTTAGTTGAAGCGTAGCTTATTTTAGTAGCTCGGTGGCGTAGTGGATAAGCACCGCGGCCCGCGATAGTAGTCGTTAAGCAACTTTCGCAAAGGTCGGTCACGGGATGGGTGACCAAAAAATTATTATCTCGAGCTACTCCGTGCTTCGGAAGGCACGTTAAGCCGTTGATCCCGGCTGCATTTGCAGTCGTTAGAACCCTCCAATCCGCATTGGGCCAGCGTGGAGGGTCATGACCCATCCTCCTTAATCATCCATAAGGAAGGCCTGAGCCCCTGCAGTGGGGACGTAAAAGGGCTGGTGATGGTAGCTTATTTTATGTTTGCAATTAATTGATTAGTTAGACCATAGCGAGGCTCCCAAATGTACGTGGCGTCTAATTTAGCATTTGCTACTTTTGTTACGTGGCTAATCTGGCTCTGTAGTTACCCGTTTCCTGGTAGGCACCGTGAACTTATCAACTCAGATAAAACAATAATATTTTTTGAGAAAAAAAAATAATTGCTAATTTAAATAACATAATGTTATTTAATGTAATTATTATTCAGTCATTAAATTTTGTTTTGGCTCGCTAATGATTTAATTTACAGCGTACCTATTTTAAAATATTGTTTAGATTCTATTTTCCTATTTCCCCGTTTGCCTATTTATATAATATATGTATATATTTTTATATAAAACATATTTGGAAGATGTGTTTCATGTTTTGGTCAATAAAGTGAGAAAGTAAAAATTAATAAAGTATTTTTTTTTCTCAAATTATATTCTTAAGTTCCTTAGTGGCTGGGTTGAAGAGAATAAACTTGTTGAACTTGTAAAGTCTTTATTTAATATTATCTTCGCTTACAATATTGTAGCCTAGAGATTGCAGGTACAGCGCGATGATTGAATGAAGATGAGGTCATATGACCGCCGACTGGACAGTATTATGACTGATCTAATTCTAATGTGTCTTGGTACAAAAGCTATGGGTTTATATATCCCAAAATTTGTAAAAAAACAACAAATAAATTAGGATTGACCTATTGCTCCTATGATAAGGGACTACTTTGATGTCGCGAGTCACATTCGCAAATATTGATTAGAATTTTAGTAAATTGCAGACGACCTCCGGGTCAACTAAAAAAACAAAACTATTTTAATTGATTTATGGGTTCGATTAGCTACTTAGTTGCGAATGTGTACTTGTGACAGATAGACCATTTCTAAATAAGGGCATTAATTGGGTGCGTATATAACAATATAATTAACATACGAATGAATGATTAGTTTATTGTTACAATATTACGTTACATGCAACGCAAAAAAAATAGTTAAGTCTTCCCCACTTTGGCGCAAGACTTTTCGTTTTTGTTTCTCAAAACATTTTTTTTATATATGTATATCGGTACCTTGTTCACTATTTTGGCCCGTGTAGGTTAATGTTTGGTGCATTATTATCATTAGCCCTTCTACATCTCCACTGCACGGGCTCAGGCCTTCCTTGGAGGATGGGCAATGACCATCCACGTTTGCCCAATGCTAATTGAAGAGTATTAACGACTGCAAATGCAATTCAGTGTAGTGCACAAACGCCCTTAACGAGTCTTTCAAAGGCATTTTAGGTCACCCATTTCTTGACCGATTCTTGTGAAAGTTGCTTAACAACAACGATCGTGTGCTGCGGCGCTTATTCACTACGCCTCTGAGCTAATTCCCAATTTTTAGGACATTATAATGTCTAACAATAAGAAGAGTTATCAGCTAACGGCATCCCCTAAACTTTCTCCAAACTTCCGTTCATCCTTCTGATTTTGTTTTCAAAACCTTTATCCTGACAGCTTTTCCAGTTCCAGCTCACATCAAAAATGCTCAGAGTAAAATGGTCTTCAAATGATTGGTGCATGAGCACTATCTCCATATTTTAATTTGCGTTCCCTTAGATTTTTTATATGTATGTATTTATGTATGTATTTATATTTTCCATATCTGTTTAGGTTTATAAGCATAATTTATTGCGTGTTTAACTATTTATATAGTCACACGTGATTTTTATTTTAAACATTACATTTTTGGCTATTAGATTACTCTTATCGACTGACATTCAGGCTCCATCTTTTTCTGTTAGACTATTAGAGGATGTCTATGACATTTAGTCTGCTATTTGTGTTTTAAATGCATGGAAATAAAAACTAAACAGCGCTGCTGCAGCGCTGATTTTCAACCTTCGCCCCCCACAACTTTAACTTGCAACATTGTTTATTATAATAGGGAGACTTGTTTCTTGTTTAAATTTAAGCATAAAAATACGTTTCTAATATTTTTCTATTATCCGACTGGCGGGCTAAATAGAATCCTTTTTTACCCAGTCGTCTTGCCTATACCCCCTTATTACCGGGAAAATATATTAATAACATCAATTTAAAAAGTTTATTATAAAATCTGGCAATTTTATTATTTGATTTTAAACTTTTATGCTTTGGAGGTACTGTTTAAAATTAACTGGAGAAATTTGACATAGAATGTGGTAATATGCGGGCGTGTGCACCAAGAAATACTTGTAGTAGTGTGACCGTGTCCAATAAGTAAAACTAGGGAATAAATGAAAACGCAGGAGTCGCATATCGAATCCCTATTGCCCTACTGAGCGCAGACTGGATTTAGAACGCCCATTTTGTTTCAGAAGTGACCACCACATTTTTCATGAGGCAATTTTAGATTTTTCTGGTACTAGATTATTAATATTTCCAAAGGGTGACTTACCGCTGTGTCCGCTGGGAACGCCCGGTATAGTAAGGATTTGCCGATGTCATACGTCCATTGCATCTAGATTTAAATAGAAGTATTATTTGACAGTTTTGACAACATAACGCCGTGAAGTAACCTGTATGACGTCATCGACATTTTCTTTGCACCGACGGCGGTGCGGAGCGAATAGTGAACGGAGTACTATATAAGAATATGGAAAATCCGTTGTGTGTCGACGGACACAGTGGATGGTCACCTTAAATTAATATCCATGGTATGATGACGGCATTGAAAGGTGGCCTGGGGTACTAAAAGATCTCCTATCTGTGGTGTATTGATAGACTGAATAAACGCCACTTATTTTGAAGGGATGTATTTTTTTATTTATTTGTCTTTTCGAATATCAGAGATCCAACGCTTGTTTTAATAAATTTTGAATTATTCTGTGATTTTTGATAAAATTACGATCTATCTATTGTGAGTAGAGTTTAAATTACAATGATTTATCTAACGATGGAAATAATTTTGTCGATAAACTGTTGTAATAGTTACACCGCCTGTGTGTCACTTTGGCCATCTAGAAATGGTCCCATTTTGGCTGCGGGGTCTGGTGAGATAGGGTCTTATTCATTAAGGTTATGAGGAAATTTATAAATATACTTTTCTTCGTTTATTTATTTTCTCTTGAGGAAGTTAATCTCAGGTTGAGTTATACCTTACCTACCATCATCATCATCATCAACCCTTTATTTCGTCTCCACTGTAGTGGCTAGGCCTTCCTAATGGATGGTTAAGGAGCATGACTCTCCACGCTGGCCCAATGCGGTTGGAAGGGTAATAACGACTACAAAATGCAGCCGGGACCAACGGCTTGACGTGTCTTCCAAAGCACGGAGACAATAATTTTTTAGTCACCCATCTCGTGACCGACTCTTGCGAAAGTTGCTTAATGACAACGATCGCGTGCCGCGGCGCATATACACTACGCCACCGAGCTACCTTACCCAATTAAATATATTAGGTTTTTATACTTTATTCATAACTTATATTAGTTAAAGTTACTTTTGATTAGGTTTAATACGAGTAATAATAACATTACTCAAGTAATAATATTCTTTTTTTCAGGCACGATTAGATTGGTCGAAACCTCTACTCGGCCAGTTACATCTCATAGCGTCACATTACGAGCTATGGGTGAACAGCGCTGTGTACAGAACGTGTAGACTCTTCGGGAATCCCATCTTGGAGAGTATGACGTTTACTCCATGGTACCTAGTGCCTATGTTCTGGGTGCCCATCATATTGTACCTGGGAATCACACAGTTTATTGAGCATGTCGCTTGTGGCGGTAAGAACGTTATAAACACCGTCATTATCAGTCTATTAATGTTCTGTGTACTGGGGGTATAATACTTCTCTGCAGATTCAAGTACTATAGGAACTGACTATGGTCTAGTGCGGATTGGTGGATGTTAACAGCTAAATGAAGCCGGTGCCAACGGATTAACGTTTCTTAAGAAGCATGGAGGAGCTGCAGATAATATACTTTTATCACCCATTCTATGACCGGCATTTGTGAAAGTCGCTTCACCGCACTAGTTTTTATAAAAGTCAGGACTGTAAGGAACTAGCTCTTTTCTAACTACTTCGCCCGCATAAGTTGTGTAGCCATAGTTGAAAGAATTTTTAAAATCGTTCCATTAGTTTCTGAGCCTATACAATGCAAACAAACAATTAAATCTTTTAGTGTTCGTTATAATTTGGTCTATAAGTACAAATTATTACGACTAGGGTTGTTAGATTCTCGGGCTTGGTCTGGAGACAGTCCCGAAAAAGAATGTCCCGTCATCCCAAAATCAATCGATCAACCGCTCGGTAACCGCTGAAACAACCTGGAAATAATTCCATTGGCTTTGTTGTTAGTTATCAATATTTTCGGAGCGAAGGATGTATGTATCGATTTTTGTCCCGAGTAATACCGAATTTATGAAATTTTGCGCCCAGATATTTTACTCTTCCCATCTGGCAACCCTAATTACGACCATAAATAATATTACGAGGTCGTCTACTAACAGAATAATATAAATTCCTATATATCTAATCATTGTGTATAGGGTGATAGATTTAGGTACATCGGTAAAGATAAAGAAAATGAAGTGATTCATATTCACTTTTAAACTATATTAAGTGAATCATATCATCATTTATATGTTATATTAATGTAGTTCAAATATTTTAATAAAATCATACAGTTATATTGCATAGCTGTTTCCTTGCGACTTCACTTGCGTAAATTATAGGCTAATAATGGCATTGTGATATATCGCTAGTAGTGAAATAAATATAATTATATGCTGGATAATGTTAACTTTTAGTTAAATCGAGGATAGCTATTATCGGCTCATTAATTGCTGTAATAAAATATTGTAATAATAAGCTATAAGTTGTTGCTAACCCCAATAAAATAAATACATAATCAACAGCGTATGATGTATCTTCCTGTAGGTGACAGAATATTTAAAATAAAGTTAGTTTTGGAGCCTATTGGATCCAAGCAAACAATCAAATCTTACCTCTTTATAATATTAATATAGAAAACGATATAAATGCATTGGCATTTATATCGTTTTCTATATTAATATTATATAATACAATAGAGTATATACAATAGAGTGCTGCAGGGATGAATATTCAGACCATTACTTTTCTTCCGTACATTAAGAAACGAATTCAGCTTAGGAAACAAATTATGGTCTGGTTTGTTAGACGAATAATAATATATATTTTATGTTTACAAAATATTGTTTTCTATAAAAAGTTCTCAAAAGGGATAGCGGTAATCCTAGGGATATAGTCCCTACTTAGTTGAATAAATCAAGCAATTATGTATAAAAATTCGTACATCGTTTTTGCTGGTCATTTATGTTATTAACTAAGGTATAGCAATAGGAATTACAAGTCGGTATTTTTTTTCCAAATAAATATTATTTTTAAAAACATAAATATAATGTACATATTTTGTTATAAAAACATAACTGTCTATACGGGTTTATTAAAATTTCATGGGACCTCAATTCTATAAGCTTTCGAATAAAAAATAGCAATAGATAAAAAACATGAATACCAGTCGAACATGAAATAAAACAGGGAGAAAAAAGCAGCCCTAGCCGAGTTTCTTGTCGGTTCTTCTCGGTACAAAGTCTCCCGCCGTAGATTTCCGAACCGATGGCGTAGCTCTCGACTTTTACGAGTGCTTGTAACAGCCTAGACTGAATAAATAATTTTGAATTTGATGATTTTGAACGAAAACAACAACAAGAAACTTCTTGTTGTTGTTTTTGTTTCAAAATGTGATGATTTTGTTTCAGACTCGTGTACAAATGATTCAATATCGTTATTACAATTCGGTGGACATCTCACATTTGGTATGATCCTGTGGACTGCACTGGAGTACTGCTTACATCGGTGGGTTTTCCACCTAGATCCAGGTTCTTCGTTAAAATTGATCACATTACATTTTGTCATACATGGACTGCATCATAAGGTACATAATTTAATACTTAGTTGAAAAAAAAAATACTTAACTAGCAAAAGTTCCTGGTTAACCATGTTGGTAGTAGGATCTCGCTTGCTACCATATTTATTTAACTTTTACTTTTGGCATGATCAATTAATTTAGACCGTTTATTAATTAAAGAGAAATGAGTTGTAGTAAAAGAGAATTTATAATGTTGTAGCTTGAAATTGAAACTCTTTGTTAATTTGTACTCTTTTATAAATTTATTAAAAAAAAATACCATGCATTTGAACTTTGGGAGTCATCGAAAATAACACAACACTTTAGTTCGTTAGTTTAATCTATTGAAAAAATTGAAACGTTAACAATGTAAACAATACATTATATATTAACAAAATATTGTTTATCTACATTTAAATATTATCGAGTACATGATATGTCCTTTTTTCAAGGTTCACTCTGTCTGGTAACAAATTTCATTAAAACTGGTTCAGTAGTTTAGTTGTAAAAACGTAACAGACAATCCATACAGAGTTATTTTCGCAGTTTTAATATTATTAGCACATGAGTAGCTCGGTGGCGTAGTGGATAAGCGCCGCGGCCCGCGATCGTAGTCGTTAAGCAACTTACGCAAGGGTCGGTCACGGGATGGGTGACCAAAAAAATTATTATCTCGAGCTACTCCGTGCTTCGGAAAGCACGTTAAGACGTTGGTCCTGGCTGCATTTGCAGTCGTTAATACCCTCCAATCCGCATTGGGCCAGCGTGGAGGGTCATGGCCCATCCTCCTTAACCATCCATAAGGAAGGCCTGAGCTCCTGCAGTGGGGACGTAAAAGGGCCGATGATGAGCACATGTTTAAATTTTTTTGCAATATAGTATAGAATGGTATGGATTAACATTTCATAGAAAAAAAATACTTTGTCATAGATTTCAAATAGTTTAAGTATATATTTATTTTGACTACTTTTGTCATTTCCAAATGAATGATTCAAAATTAAGATAAGTTAGCAACACCATCATAGGCTTTCTCTCTTTTCTTACGTACTAATATTATCTAACTAACTTTCGCAAAGGTCGGTTATAGGGTCGACCAACAATTTACTATCTCGAACTCCTTCGTGCTTCGGAAGGCACGTTCAGCGGTAGGTTCCGACTGCGTCTACAATCGTTAACGCCTTCAATCCGCACTGGGTCCGCGTGGTGGGACATGGCCCATTCTCTCTATTTTACTTGATTCGATTCCATCCATAGGGGAGGCTTGAGTTAATAGACTAGTAATGATGATGACGACTGATTGTTTCCTCAGATGCCGTTCGATGGACTACGGCAGGTGTTCCCCCCGATCCCAGCTCTGGTCCTGGCCAGCATCATCTACGTGCCCTTCTGGCTAACGCTGGACTATCCACGTATCAAATTGGCGGGTGGACTCATTGGTGAGAGCAGATTCTTTTACTTTTAGCCTTTCAATACCAGTTTATGCAGTTCAATATTACTCTGAAAATCGATTTGGGATTGCTGTAAAAATCGATCGTCATTTCGAATGCATTAATCGTTAGTTGCTTTAAATGTGATAAACTGTTCCCACTCTCCTCTATGTAGTTAGCGTGAGAAAGATTACCTAGTTGTTGGTTGTTATGCGAATTAAGCTTATCGATTGTTCGAAAATAACACTATAGTAAATTAACTATACTATAGTAAATTAAATTAGTAGTATGTTACTTTTATATTGTAAAATAACTTAAGTCATAACAAGCTGACAGAGATACTGTAAAGTACCTATCCCTATTAGTAGCTCGGTGGCGTAGAGGATAAGCGCTGCGGCCCGCGATCGTTGTTGTTAAGCAACTTTAGCAAGGGTCGGTCACGGGATGGGTGACCAAAAAATATTATCTCGAGCTACTTCGTGCTTCGGAGAGCACGTAAAGCGTTGGTCCCGACTGCATTTGTAGTCTTTTATACCCTCCAATCCGCATTGGGTCAGCGTGGAGTGTCATGGTCCATCCTCCTTAACCATCCATAAGGAAGGCCTTGGCCCCTGCAGTAGAAACGTAAAAGGGCTGATGATGATGACCTTTTCCTAAAAACGAAACTTTTGCTGTCTTTTATGGTTCCGCACCCAAAGGGTAAAACGTGAAACCCTATTACTAAGACGTCGCTGTCTGTCTGTCACCATGCTGTATCTCATCAACCGTAATATCTACGGTCAGTTGCACAAACGTTCATTACGGTCTAATGACGCCTTTAAGCTCTAATGAATGTCAAATTTGTATGAATAATGTCGCTTTAAACTAATGAAAATGTTAAAGGATGTTTGTGCAACTGGCTGTTAGTCAGATGAGATTTTTTTTTGCCTTTTCAGTACGGTACCGTTCGTGTGCGCTCAATTTTAAATAAGAAAGTATTAAATTAAAAACCCGTAATCAAACTAGACGTCGCTACCGTACTTGATTTCTCTGTGACAACCTGTGTCATTTCTCTGTGTCATTTTTTATTTATTTATTTATTTACAATGGGCTATTATTATGTTTAAAAGTAAATTAATTTTCAAATCTCAATAAACAACCCGTATTCTATTTGTACTTTTTCGTATTTGTATTGATATTAAGTTTCGAACTTTGCCAATTAAAATTTTTTAATATGTTAGTTAAAAGGAACGGAAATGACTATCTTTGATCCATTTGTTTCCTGCAAACATCAACTTTTGGTAGAGTCGCTTTCTTTTTAGTACTTTTTTTTTTCTTAAAATACTTCCTCATTCAGTTATAATAAAATACGACATAGGAAGGTATGTCATAACGTATGTGAGTGTCTGTATTTTTTTCTTTTAAGTGTGTTTTATCCACAAGTGTGTTGATATTGGAATCACCAACCACTTGAGACACTCAAAACTAGAAATTTGAAGATTGTGTATCATATGAAACAAACAACGCCGGTTTATTTATTCTCATTCCATAATAATATAAGGGGCTATGCAGGTCCCTGAGGAACAGTAGTCACTGCGACCTTGAAGATCTATTGTGACTCGCCTATGAAAGAGTTACTTATAGAGCTATAAGTAACTCCTTCAGCCCGCTGGAGTTCAAAGTCTATTATATCCTGGCTTTTAGTGATTTTATATCTTCTGGGCTGATTATATGTCGTCCCAGATGTGTGCTTCGTTTGTGGATCAGTGGTCCACATTCACACAGGAGATGTGTTGGTGTTTCAAGTTCCTGTTTGCAATATCTGCAAATGTCAGTGTCACTTAGTTTGACGTTAAATAGTTGGTTAGTTTACAGTGTCCAGATAAGATGCGTACAATTGTACTTATATTTGCTCGGTTTAGCTTCAAGAGCTCTTCAGCTAGTTTTTGCAAATGACCTCTTATTAGGGATTTAGCGTGATTTTATCCCGGCTGTTCTTGTCAGTATTTTTTTGAATCCCTTTGCAGGTCATTCTTAAGAATATGCATCAGATAGTTTTTTGGGATACCACAAAAAGGCTTTCGCTGGTGTAACTACATCCCAGTAATTTACATAACCTACCTACTGTTATAGTAATGCACTATACCTAAGGGGCTTCTAAACGCGCAATATTTTTCTGCAATTTTTGTCTGCATTATTTATTACCAAGCCATTTCAGAAATGTTTTAAGGCCCTCTTGTACTTCCGCTTACGATCTCATGCAAATACGCATAGAGAGTAAAGATGCGCTCACTTGATTTTATACATCTTTAATCACAGAAAAAACAAATTAAGTTATTAAAAAATCATTCTTTGCTTCTGTTTCTTGAAAAAAATCTACCATTAGTTTATTTTTTATAAAATGATTTTTATTTGGCAAATATTAGCATAACCTTATGATAAAATTGGTTTACTGTCTGGTAAATATCTCGTCAAAATGTTTGGCTATATGTTTGGGATAATATTGCAAAACTTGGCTGACATTTCTTGTAATGTTGCCAGATGACAGTGTTGCTAATTGCAGAAAAATATTACCCATAGAAGTCCTTTAACGCAACTGATTGAGCACCAGACTATGCTGACCGTCAACGGTGGCTGACATAATCAAATCATTGCTGTGTAAATTGTTTCAAAACATAATAAATACGTACGTAATAAATTATTATAAATTAATAGGTTATACAACAATTCTAGAGATGTAACACTAGAATCTATGGAATTAGTTCTTATTGATATATAGATTAAAGCCGTAAATGCGCAAACATTGTTATTTGAAGAATTTGTTTCATGTTGCGAACTATATATACCATTTTTGGTCACACAGAATCACTGTGTGTTATACAATGCAAACGTAATCATACATTAAAAAATTCTTAGAACCGACGTAGGAATACGTGACAACAATGAAAGGTTTCATCAATGATTTTATATGAATAAAGTCTATGTGAGTTTAGTGTGACCATTATTTTTTATTCTGAGAATGTTTAGTTTGTCCTTCTTTTACATCTTTATTTCATACTCACATCCTCTATATTCACTTTTATGCCTAAATACATCCTCTATTATACAAAATATCATCTGTTTATTCTCAATAGCTTTTTTACGTTTCACAAGGCAAAAAGTCCTAATTTTACCAAACTGCTATCAACTGATCACTAAAAAAACTAAAACAAGAAACGAAAACCTATTTAAGTGAGTTTAAGACGGTTAAAGTACGATTTAAGACGTTAATTTCTCAATTCAGAAACCGGGCTTTAGTCTCTTAGTACTCTTAAAAATGTATTATAGTCCTTTGGACATGAATCCATAAATAACAAAATTCTGAAATTGTCTCTTTAATTAGTGTACATACACTAGTATTTCATTTATGGCAATATTTTCATGGGCATTGTATAAGCCATTTATGCATGTATTTACTTTAATTATTAGCACAAATAAAATGCTTATAAAATTATATATTTATGGTGATGTGAATGATATTTATGTATGACATATATATTTCTTATTTTCATTAAAAGATGGAGCTGTACATTTATTATATCGCGTTCAATGATATTATACAAAAAGAGGTTTATATAAGAGGTGTTTTAACATATCATTGATTGCGGTGTTATGTTTTGTTAAAAAAGGTATATATCTAATGACAGTTCCCTTGTAAAAGATGCTGTTTTTGTTTTTGACGCGGTTTTATTTACCCTCAGTAGTTCCTAGGACGCAAAAACATCTATATGTTCAGGCATCGTTCGCATGTTTTGTCTAGGACGCCAAGGTTTCATTGAGCCGGCGCTGGGCATAATAACATTATAAATGTAACGAGACTCGGCCATCCATGAGATAAATGTTTTAGATGTTTCACATTTAAGATTATTACTTTTAAATTAGTCCTATTAAATCCTTAGTAGAGTTGTTCATAGCATGTTTTAATATAGATTTGGACAGAAATAGAAATTATGTAACTCAAATGTCCAATGATAGATATACCTAAAAAGATAAGCTGAAATAAAAGTTTATAAATACTTAATCTAATTTTTCAAGTCACTTTTGATAAATACTGAAACATATACTTAATGAAAAAATACTTAAAAATCCACTTTGTCCCTGACTAAGATAATATTTATTTACTAGATAAAACTTCATATTTAGAAAAAACCGACCAAGTGTGAGTCGAACTCGCGCACGTAGGGTTCTGTATCGGAAACATGGAAAAACAATCACGTTTGTTATATGGGAGCCCTTTAAATACTTATTTTATTCTGGTTTTTAAATATATGTTGCTGAAGTGGCAACAGTATTACATCAACATCATCTGTTTTTTTCAACTGTCTAAATTTCAGACTAACAGAAAACGAAGTCTTAGTAATAGGATTCCCGTTTTACCCTTTGGGCAGATGCTATAATGTAGAAGTTATATACGAAGATAATAATTAAGTACGTCAAAAGTTTCTAACCCAGACAAATTCCTACTTAAATCAGTAGTAGAATCCCTATCGTTTGTATTGTAATTCATTATAGTGGAGCGTAGTCGGGAATCCAGACAGGGTCGTCTGTTTTAAACGTTAGGGTTGCTAGTTGTAAAAAAATATGGTACTAACAAAACTTAATAATTAAATTGTACCTGACTATTCAGTTCAATTCAATTTCTTCTTTACGTATCTTATATGATTTAATGAGTGTCTAGAAGTGTCTAGTTCTAGTTGCCTTATAAATATGTATTTGAACTATCTGTTTTTCCGCGACTTTACCCGGGCAAATTATAGTCTATGTCACCCTTTTATACCGTAGTAGTATACAATCAAACAAGTTAGAAACTTTACTTCTTTATAATATTAGTATAGATTTGTCGATCTTGAGATGACGTTTCATCGAATATGAGTTCGAGGACTTAAATTTTACTATGGGTGATTACTTGTTATGTTGCTTGTTAAGTATTAGATGTTGGACATCTCTTACAATTTTGTAATATTACGGTTCCAAAATGGAACTTCAGCTAA